CTTTTGAAAGGTAAATAATATTTAACCTTCTGGACACGCATTTAAAAATGTTTCTAAGTACAGTGAACATTGCACCTCAGCTAGTTCATCTCAGCAAGAGCTAACTATGGAGGGTCTGGGAAATTTGCCACAAGTGAGTTATTTAAAGGTAGTTGTGGTGACATGCTCTCCTAAATTTAGCATCGTAATGAACTTCTCCAGATTAAGGAGTAACTGTCTTGCACTCTTCCACCCTTTGTGTAAAAAATTTAGCACATACTTGAGACTGATTATTTTCTTCCCTGTGTTAGAGCCTTCAAACAGTTTCTTTCTCAAAATACTTCCTCAACTGCCCTTTCCCACATTATCTTTTTTCTGCAAGGAAGAGGAAAGGGTTATTCACTCTCAGAGTTTCGATGACCAGAGCTGACTCTACCTAAGCCTCGATGCAGCCCTACGTCTCCGCACCCAACTGTCTAATGCAGGGGTCAGCAAACTTTTTCTGTCAAGATCTAGATAGTAAATAGCTTCGGCTTTGCGGTGCATAGGTTTTTTGCTGTAATTACTCAACTCTGTCCTTGTAATGCCAAAGCAGCCATAGATAACATGTAAATGAATGTGTGTAGCTGTTTTCTGTTAAAACTTCATTTATAAAAGCAAAAGGCAGGCCAGATTTGTCCTCCCCCACCCCCAGGCCATAGTTGCTGACCCCTGATCTACATGCATATTGAAACTGGACCAGTCAGATTACAGCTCCTGGGAATTCGGAATTGGGCCCCTGAGAGTGTGTTAAGCAATAACTGTGGGTTGCTAAGCAGGAAAGTTGGGCAAACTGGGTGGAGGACAGAAATGGAAAGCCAGGGCCACTATTTGGGACAGCCATAGTAGGTCACAGGCAAGCAGACAAATGAGCAAAGAAGCCGGTCCGCATGAGGGAATGAAGCAGGCATACAAAGAAAAGCTGAGACTAGAGACCAGAAGACGAGAGAAAGAGGGAAGGAGAATTCTTGTAGTATTGGCTGTGCTTCCCACAGTTGGGTCTCACATAATCCCTGCCTATTTTTATATTCGCTCCTCCTTTACTTCAGCCAGCTGGCATGAGTTCCCGTTCCTTGCAACCAGAAAACCCCTAACTCAAGCAACCTTTTATACTACAGACATTTCAAATGACTGGCAGGTCTCTGACTTGAACAGTCATGTTCTCGCACAACTAAGCATTGCTAGGTGCGGTTCCAGCCCCACCTCCACATTGCCACTTCTATTCCATATTCTTTTCTTTCTTTGGACTTTGCTCACACATCCCTCCTGAGTCTGGGTTAGGACTTCGTTCCCATTCTCCTCATGTAAAGCTCTATGACTGTGCTTATCATACAACATTACGTTTTCTGATTTGCTTGTCTATAGTTTTAACTGTAGCTTTCATCTCTGTGCTAAGTACAGGGTCTGGCACAGAGTAGAAACTTAATATATTTATTAAATGAATGAGGTAGAGGTACACAGTGGTAAATATATCTGTAAAATAGAGGTAAGTTCTAACCAGTCTGAAGGCTCGGGATCCTCAGATGTCCCTTCCAGCTTCATGAGCCAAAAACAGAAATAATATGATCTGATGAATTTATTCATACGTAAAGGACTACAGGAATGTACTCAATATGCCTTTACACTCAACTTTGCTAGTAGTGTTGTTCAAAGCAATGTTCTTACTGAATTTTTTGTCTGCCTATTTTATCAGTAACTAAATATATTAACATCTCCCAATAAAATAGTCGATTTTTTAGTCCTCATTTGTAGTTCTGTAATTTTTGCTTTATGTACTATGACGTTATGTTACTAGGAGAATACAAACTTAGAATTCTTTTTTATTTTCCTGGTGAATTAAATCTTTATCACTATGAAGAGTCTCCCTCTATCTCCAGTAGTGTTTTTTGTCTTGGAGTCTACTTAATCTGATATTAATATAGCTATTCCAGTTTTCTTTTGGGAGTGTTGCATGGTTAGTTTTCTCCATCTCTTTTCTTTTGACCTTTCTGCATTTTTATGTTCTAGATACATCCCTTGTAGATAGCATGTATTTGGGTTTTGATTTTTCTGTCCAGTCTGACAATCTCTGCTAGCTGGTTACATGGATTGGTGGCCCCGAGGTTTATCACACTGACTAATATTTATGCCCTTATGTAGTTTCCTCCTCTTGACTCTGGGATGAGCCTAGAATTCACTTTATCCAACAGAATGTGGCAGAAGTGACAATATCCTAGTTCTAAGCCTAATCCTTTTGGAAGCCCCAAGCTTGTGTATAAGAAGTCTGCCTTCCTCCTTGGAGATACTACGTGGAGAGGCCATGTGGAAAGGAAAACGTCATGGAACTACTTATACAAAAACCAAAGAACCCAATCAACAGTGAGAACCAGGCCCCATACGTATGATTTCAATTAAGCCGATCCAGCTAACCCCCAGCCATTGAAGCCATCCAGCTGAGCTGCCAGACATGAAAGTGAAGAAGCTATCTGGGATGTTTCAGCTCCAGCAGACATCACCCAGAGATGAGATGAGCCACTCCCTGTGTCCTACCCAAATGCCTGACCCACAGAATCATGAAATATAATCAAATGGTAGTAGTTTAAAGTTATTCAATTTTGGTATCATTTGTTACATACCAATAGGTAACCAAAACAATCAGATCAGGATCTGTTTCCACTTAATGTAATTAGTGATATATTTGGGTTTAAATATAACATCTCATTAAGTACTTTCTCTGTCTTGCCTGTTATATGTCCTCATTTTCTCTTATCTGGCATTTATATTGATTACTTTTTATTATTCCATTCCCTTTATTCCCCTTTTAGATTGGAAATTGCATAGTGTGATAGTCAATTTTACGTTTCAATTTGGCTGTGCCACAGTGCCCAGAATTTGTTCAAACTTTATTCTAGATGTTTCTGTGAAGGTGTTTTGGGATGAGATCAACATTTATATCAGTGGACTTTGTGTAAAGCAGATTATCCTCCATAATGTGAGTGTGCCTCATCTAATCGGTTGGAGGCCTTTATAGAAGAAAGACTGACCTCCCATGAGCAAGGAGTTCTCCTAGCAGACTGGATTTGGACTTGAACTGCAACTCTTCCCTGGGTCTCCAAATTGCCGGCCTACTCTGCAGACTTTGGATTTACCAAGCCTCCACAATTGCTTAAGCCAACTCCTTAAAATAAGTCTCTCTCTTTCTATGTTTATAAACATCCTGTTGGTTCAGTTTCTCTGGAGAACCTTGAATAATACACATGGTCTTTTACTATTCTCTTAGTGGTTGTTCTAGAGCTTACGAGCTGCATTCTTGACTCATCAGTCTACTATTAATTGTAACTTTTTCCATCCACCTAGATAATGCAGAGATTTTAGAACGCTTGATTCCATTTACCCTCTCCTGACTTATATACCATTGTTTTTTATTTTTAAATACAAAAGACATTACTATTCTTGTATTATAGTTGATATCAATATTTATTTAGATTTACCCACATATTTATCATTTTAATTGATCTTTATTTCCTCATGTATCTCTGACCTTATTACAATTGTGATCATTTTCCTTCTGCCTCAACAATGCCACTGTGAATCTGCTGGTACAAATACTTGGTTCTGTTTGCTTGAAAATTTCCTTTTTTTGTGTGAGGAAGATTAGCCCTCAGCTAACATCTGTTACCAGTCTTCCTCTTTTTGCTTGAGGAAGATTGTCACTGAGCTAACATCTGTGCCAATCTTCCTCTATTTTATGTGGGATGCTGCCACAGCATGGTTTGACAAGCAGTGTTAGGTCCATGCACAGGATACAAACCTGCAAACCCTGGACCACTGAAGTGGAGTGTGCAAACTTAACCCCTATGCCACTGGACCAGCCCCTGAAAATTTCTTTTTTTTTTTTTAAAGATTTTATTTTTTTCCTTTTTATCCCCAAAGCCCCCCTGTACATAGTTGTACATTCTTAGTTGTGGGTCCTTCCAGTTGTGGCATGTGGGATGCCACCTCAGTGTGGCTTGATGAGCGGTGCCATGTCCATGCCCAGGATTCAAACCAAGGAAACACTGCCCCGCCTGCAGCAAAGCGCGCGAACTTAACCACTCGGCCATGGGGCTGGCCCCTGAAAATTTCTTAATTTCACCTTCATTCTTAAAATATTTGCTTTCAGTCCTTTAACATTATCAGCCCATCATTTTCTGGCTTCAGATAGTTCTGTTAAAAAGTCAGTTGTGGGGCCAGCCCCGTGGCCAAGTGGTTAAGTTCGCAGGCTCCACTTCGGTGGCCCAGGGTTTTGCCAGCTCAGATCCTGGGCACAGACATGGCACTACTCATCAAGCCATGCTGAGGTGGCATCCCACATGCCACAACTAGAAGGACCCACAACTAAAAATATACAACTATGTACTGGGGGGCTTTGGGGAGAAAAAAGGAAAAATAAAATCTGAAAAAAAGGTCAGTTGTAAGTCTAATCGTTGTTTCTTTAAAGGTCAACTCATTTTCTCTAGTTCCTCTTAAGATTTTTCTCTTTTTCTTTGGATTTAGCAATTTTTTCATGGTGTGTTTATGTGTCAATTGTGTGGATTTAAGAAAAATTTTATCCTGCTGGGGATTCATTAGTTCAAAATATTATTTCTTCCCAATGCTGTCTTTTCTTTTCTTCTGGAATTCCATTTCTGTGCATATGAAACTTTATCACTGTATCTTCTACGTACTTTCTCTATGTTTTGTATTTTTCATCCTTTTTCTTCTTTGTGCTTCATTCTGCATATTACCTTCTGACATCTTCTAGTTCACTAATTCTATCTTTATCTGTGTCTAACATGCTGTTATACCCATCATTGAGTTGTTATTTTCAGTCAGTGAATTTTTTGGTTCTAAAATTTTCATGTGATTTTTTTTCCAGGTTTTAGTTATCTGCCTAAATTTTTAATCTTGTGTTTTATTTACTTATACATAGTAAGCATTGTTATTTTTAAATCTGTGTCTGATAAATTCACTATCAGAATCCCTTTTGGGTCTGTTTCTGTTGTCTATTGTTTCTGCTGTTTTTCTTGTTTCTTTGCATGACTGGTTATTTCTTATCATGTACTAGATATTGCATTTGCAGAATTGTTTGTGGAAATGACTTGAGGCCTAGAATATTACATTACTGCTGAGAGGATTTTAGTTTGCTTCTGCCAAGGGCTTGGGGGCATTAGCCCAAAGGAATTACCCTAATCCAATCTCAGGGTTGAGATGATTTGAAACTGAGATGTCATCCCTTTACTGCTAAGATGTAGCCATTTGTATTCCTCATCCAAAGCAAGGGAGCTTCAACAGAGTTCAACAAAGCAATCCTTACTGAAAGGATAAACGGACTTCCCTGGGCCTCCATCATTCCTCAGATCCTGGGCTGGTAATTCCCATCTTATTAACTCTCTGATGCCTTTATGCTGATACTTTTTATATTTTGCTAAGTTTTTCTAGTGCCCTCTAGTAGTGCCAAATCTAGTAGGAGGATTTGTCCAAATTACTGCCAATACCAGGGGGTATAGAAATGAAGACATTATTAAATAGAGGTAGTTGCTCTTAAGAAGTGCATTGAAAAAGATCCTTAAAGAAAAAACAATTAGACTTTTATTTACAATTCCACCTTTTTAACCCAAGTGGCAGTTCCATATTTAGGAATGTTGTATCCAAGTCCTGGCATCATGTAATTTGAGGAAAGCTACTTCTTTTATTAACAAATATTATTGAACATCACCTCTGTCCCAAAAGTTGTTCTAAGAAATTACACTATAAAGATGAAAATGACGTGGTTATTGACCTAAGGTGCTTGAAGTCACCATTCCTTATTGGTAAACTGGTTATTTTTAGAATCATTAATTCATGATCAAAAAGTTGATATATTTTGTTAAATATACGTAACACAATGATAGACACATTTAAACTATAAACAGGTATATTTGAGTTCCTATCACCTTTCAGCCTAAACATGAGGGCATTTAAAACAATATATTTTTAGAACTTAAAGTTTATTATTGAATATGTTCTTTTAAAGTACTGTGGAGAAGCAAGAACACAGGCTTCACAAGAGATCTTAAATGCAAGGATCTTCTTTTTCCTAAAGAGTTAAGCTCTGGTTTCCTAGCCTTTTTACTCTTGAAAACTCCTGGGAAAAGCTACTCATTCTGAATCATCATTATTTTTAATCAGAACTTTTCCTTGGTAGTTGTTCAAAGTCCTCTAAAATAGCCTCTAAGTATACAAGTGTCCCTGGACTCTAAGTGTGACAGATTTCCTAGGAGATGGGAGCCTTACTGGCAGAGATGATTTCAACGTGCCCAGACTCCCTGGGGTCAATCAGTCAGTAGAGAGGAAAAGCAGAGAGAACTTAGTGGATGAGGATGCTGTAGATTCATTACTTGACCTCGGACAAATTATATAACTTTTCTGGCTTGGTTTTTGCATCCATGATAGATTGGGCTCCTAGATGATATATCTATAAAGTATACAGAACTTTCAGCTCTCATATTCTGCGATTCTTCTAGAGTTGTGGAGGTCTGTTTGGCCACCTGAGTTTAAAAGAGATTAGAAGGGAAAATAAAAACTACAGTTCAATATATCAAGTAAGATATGAGTACAATAACCTGTAAGGAGATGAACAACTATATTACGTTGTTGGCCACCATGACAACGGCCAGCAGAGATGAAACAAGACTGGGGTCTGAGGAAGCTGTAGCTCTCCAGAAGCCACTTTCTGTCCATCTTCCCTTCCTTCTTTCCTCTGCTCCCTTTCTGCTACACTCTTCCTCCAGGAACTTCCTTCAATTCATCCACATGGGGGGGCAACAGTGATTGCTTTGAAGGGAGAAAATGAAGCAACTCTTGCTTCAATTGAAGCATATTGTGCATTCTCCTTATGGTCTTTTACTCTGAATGCAGCTATGAGGCCCTTCAGGACAGTGCAATGAAAAACAAATGGAACCAGCAGATGACTTTGGACATATCATATAAACGCGTTTTCATCTGTAGAATGAGGGTCGAACACTTTCATTTTTGTTTTTACATATTCTGATGCCTATAATTCTTGTATCTCTCTGTCATCCCCACAGCTTGACTTTATTATCAGCAGGCAGCCTGCTCAGCTCACTTTATACTCAGAGCCTGGCACTTAGTGAATATCCAGTTAACATTAATTGTTCAGGAAGGAAGTGAACTTCTGTTAGCACCTACAATGCTAATCAGTCACTGTTCAGGTCTCTTTCATATACATTTTCTTCTAATTCATTCAACACATTTGTGAGATAGGTATCACTATTCTATTTTTGGAAGATGTAGATACAGATATTCAGAGATTTAATTATCAGGATCATAATGATAGTTCTGCCACTTACCTTATATTTCATAAGTTATTTTTCTACGCCTCAGTTTCCTTATCTGTAAAGTAGGAATTCGTAAGAGTTAGGATAAGGTCGGCAGATTTAGCAAAAAACAACAACTAAAACAAAACAAAAATAAAACAAAGAGGAAGTACATCTCAAATGGAGCATTCTTATATTAAAAATTTTCTACATTTATCTGAAATTCGGATTTAACTGGGCATTTCTGTATTTTATCCGGCAATGCTATCTTAGCATTATGGTTATGACAGTGCATGTAAAGGACTTAGCCGCGTCCCTAGCACTTAGTGAGCACTCAGCAAATGCTATGCTTATTAAATTTTGGATCTGATTCCAAAGTCCTTTCTTTTTTTTCATCACAAACACACTGAGCTGAGTTTCCAGATAAAATTTAAGTCAGGCGAGGGTAACAATACTTTAAGTTTAGATTAAGGCTTTATCCTTCCTAAAGCGGCTTCAAAGCCTGGCCACAGGCGGAATGCTCTCGGCGAACCCCACAGAAGCGGGGGCCCTTGGGGGCCGTCCCGCAGTCCCAGCACAGGCACCCGGGACTGAGCTGCCCCGGCGGCCCCTTCGCCCCGCCCCGCTCCGGCCCGCCCCGCCCCGGCTCGGCCACTCAGAGGCTGCGCCGCGCCCTGCCGCACTCCTATAGGCCCTTCCTGGGACAGGCGAGGCCTTTCCATTTTCCCGCCTTCCCCAGCCCCTCCTCGGCCCGAAACCCGCACTAGCCCACAACGTCTCCGCCCTGCCTTCCGTGAGAGCCCCGCCCTTCCGGACACCGCATCCCCCCTTCCTCCCCGACCCTGCATTCTGGGCAGCCTGCGGGGTCCCGGCCCGGCCCTTCGGTAGGAGGCGGGAGGGGCCGGGGAGGGGCGGGCAGAGCCCCCATCCCGAGGGTCGCGAGAGGCGGGGACAGGAGGGAGGGGCGGGGCTAATCTCCTTGGCGCCGCGTTGCCACGGCAGCGGGGGAGGGCGGGGGCCGGGGGAGGAAGCCAGCGGGCGGGGGATGTGGGGCTCCGCGGCCGCCGCCGCAGCTGCCGCTGCCTGCTCGTTGCCGCGTCTTCCCGGAGGCGGCTGCTGGAAGCTGCCGGAGCAGCTGCGGTGCTCTGCCATATTGTGTCTTCCCCTGCCCGTCCTTCGCCTCCCCGCTGCGGCGGCCGAGCTGACGGTGAGTCCCGGGCGGAGCGGCGCTCTCCGGGGCCGGCGCCGCCCGGCGTTCGCGCTCCCCGCCCCAGCCCGCGGCGTCGCTCCCGGGCGCGGAGGCAGCGCGTGCGGCCGGCGCCGGGCGTGGGACGCGGAGGGCGACCGTCCCGTGACGCGCCCGGACATTTTCGTCCCGTGAGGAACTGGCCGCTCCGCGCGGGTCTCGCCGGCGCGCGGCGTGGGTCGTGTGTGGGCTCGCGGGGCGTGTCGACTGCGGGGCGGGCGGCCCCGTGAGGAGTTCGGAGTTTTTCCTGAGAGGTAATGACCGCCCGGGAGCGGCGTCGCGCGGCGGAAACCGCGGCGAGGGGTGCAGGCTCTCCGGGAAGGCTCGCGACGCTTAGGGCTCGGCTCGGGGCGGCTCTGCGGTTAGGGGAAGTGCCCCACGCCCCTCGGGAGGCTTTGCAGCGCCCCCTCCCCCGCTGGAACGCAGAGGGAAGTGCCGCGCGTGGAGTCCGCGTCCGGCCCTGGGCGGACGGGCTGGGCCCGGCCAGGTAGTGCTCGGGGAGGCGCCGGGCGCGGCCGGGACTGAACTTCGGGCGCGGGCCGCTGGGGTGGACAGGCGCGGGGCCCGGATGTGGGGGTGGCCGACCCCGGCGCCCTCGGGCCCCTCCTCCAGCGGGCGCCCCGGGGGCCTCCGGGGGTGGCGGTCTCGCTGGGGTGGGAGTTAGTGTTTCAGCGCTGCAATATGGACACTTCCTGTTCGCCGCCCCTCTCGGGCCGGTGCTTACCTCTAGCCTTCATTCCTCTCTCCCGGGAAGGTGAGGGGTCGGGAGGGCGCGTGCGAGGCCCCTCAGTCCTCTGAGGTCGCCCCACCGCTGCTGCAGCGAGTCTGGGAGCCCGGAGGACGGTGGGAGTCGGGGGAAAGCGGCCCATGTGCGTACCGCTCCAGCCTCCTGTTTTACTCAGCTCTACCCCTTTGCAAGATGCCTGTTTCCACCGCGGCTCGCGGGAGTTGGGGTATTTCATTCATTGGGGCACACTCTCGGGATCTTCTTGGACCTGATTTCTGCTTTAAAGTTTCTTTAAAGCATCCCCTGTACTTCGTTTTCTCCTTACTGGAAAAAAGTAGCGTGCAAAGAAATGACATAGACTCTCTTCTATCCCAACTCTGAGGTTGGGGGAGGAGGTCGGTTATTTTTTTCCAGGATACTTTATGCTGTTTCTCCTGTCTTCCTTGTGCTGGTGACAGCCACGTGGCCGGCTGAGTGTAAGAGAGTGCCCTAGCGCCTCTGGGGCTGAGGCTTCGCTGGTAGCCAGGGGCTTTGTAACCGTGCTGTAGCATTGCATCCACATTTATTTTGGTGTTTTTTTCAGATGGGGAAGTGGAAAAAGCTGAACTGTTCATGTCTGTCTCTGTTTCATTCGAATTGTGAGACTTATCTCCGTTTCCTTGCAGTCCTTGTAAAGTGTATATTGACATTTTTGCCTTTCTCTGCCGTTTTGATGATTCATCTTTAAAATCTCAGCAGTGTTAGGTACCATTAAGGAGTGGTGGAGACTAAAATATTACATTATGGAGTTTCCTAACTCTGGAAAAAAAATCGTTTGACTTTCAGAACCATTAATGAGAGGTTCTAATGTAATCAGAGACAGTCACATTCTGGCGGATTTCTTTTTGATAGTTTTATAAAAGTCTCAATTTTTTCTTTTTATATAAAAATCGTGATCTGAAAAGATATAAATATGTTATCGGTGAAAATACTTGTTTAGGGATGAAATAAATACTTCGATTTGTACGTGTGCACTTTCTTAAGCTTTTCGAGAAAAGTACTAACAGTTAATATGAATCTTAACATGAACAGATTTTATTTTAAGGTAATGAAATTTAATTTTTAGAATATATCAAAGTAAAAAGTCAAAGAGTTGAAGATTAAAAATCTGAGCTTTTGGGGAGTTTGGAAATCTTTAGAATTTAAGTACATGTAATCCTTAGTTACTAGTGTATCCTGTTTCATTTTGTGAATGCTTTGATGGATTTGAATTATTTTTGTAACATGTTTTTATTTGAATCAGTTTTAGTTGAAGAGTACTAAACCATAGAAAACATTCAGAATGTGTAAAAGAATTGTGTAGAGAAGTTATAGCAACACAATTTATTACAATTTTAATTGCGCCGTAACAATGGTTCTCAATCAGTGAAGTTAATAGATACAAAGATTGGGGAGGCTTCAGTGCAGAAAAGATAATTCAATTGAGAAATGTGTGTGTCTGCTGACCACTGAGAGCAATGCTTAGTTGAGAAAGAAAAGTAAATGAGGTGATGAAATACTTATATAAAGCAGGAAGCACTGAAAACATATGTTGGAAGATAACTACATTATTAGTTCTGGGATCCAGCTGTCAAGTGGAACTTTAAAAAATGTCATCCAAACAAGACTTATTCTTGTTCTTATGGCAGCTTATTGCTTAGCTACTCATTGTATGTGTGTTTGTGTTGCTTTTAGATTGTTGTCATTTTAGTAACTGGATTTTGCGTAAATGCGAAAAGGTCCTCCAAAATAAAGTTTTGAGGGCCCAATGCTTTGCTGATTTTTTAGGGAAGAAAAAGAGATCTAAGATTTGATCCCTATTTTTAGATTGAAGAGACAAGATTAATACACATAAAAAAAGTGCAGTGTAAGAGGATATAATTAGGAGTTAAATTGTCTGTTGCAGGCAGGTGCTATAAGACGTAAGAGGAGAAGGAAACTAGAGGGTTTGAGTAGGCAGGGGAGGCTTCTTGAAGAAAGTAAGGTTCTTGCTCTCTAAAGTCTAGCCTTCATGTTACTCCCATTAGATTAATCTTCCTAAAGATTATATCACTCTGATGACCAAAACCCATTACATCAAGCATGAATACCAAATTTCTTCTCAAGACTTTTCCAAACTTTGGGTCCCAGTCTTCTCCATCTTATCTTCCACTAACCTATAGGAACTGTTCATTATTCACTACTTTTACATGGTATAACAATTTTACTTCTTTTTAACCTTTGCTGGTATAACATTTTTTTGTTGGAAATGCACCTACATACGTCCTCTTAACTGAAAATCTACTCAATCTTGAGGCTTGGCTGAAATCTTGATTGTCCTGCGAACCTTAGAATCATAGAATTTTAGACCTGCTTTCACCTCTCTAACTGAAAATTCTTCCTTTCTCTGATAGTGTGTTTCTTTTCGGCTGTGGCGTTCTGTACTGCCTTGTTTTCATTTAATAAATATTTTTTGAGCACCTACCTTGTGCTAAGCACTGTTATAGGAACTAAGTGAATAAGACAAATTACCATATTCTTTGTCAGTTATCTTTTTAGGTTTTATCACTCCAAGCATGTTATAGAGTCTTTGACCACCCAGAGGAGTCTTATTTTCTGAGATATATGTTATATGCTTAGTGGGTATTTGATTATTTTCTGAGTAAAGGAAAGGCAGCACTTATGGTATGAGGTGGAGAGATGGATGGAAAGGTCTTTCTTTACAAGTGTAGGGTACAAAAAAATAGCCAATTATGGATGGCCTTGAAAACGTCACTTCTGAATTTAAATATTGTTTAGTCAAAAAAAAAAAGATGGCATTTGAGCCTGGGAATGATAGGATAAAATCCTTATTTGAGGAAAGTTCATTTGACAGCAGTGTGCAGGACTAATTATTAACTGGGAATGGAGAGGAATGGGAAGAAGACAGATCTATTTGAAGAAAAAGTTAGTAACTTTGAGAAGCCGGTTTAGAAGGGGAGCATCATCAAGAAGATGGAGAGTCTAGTTAGTTGAGTATAAGGTGAGTGGGAGATAACTAGGTGAATATGACCGTTAGTGACTAGAGATTAGAGGTTTGGGATAATCCGTTTAATATAGATGTGACAGCTAATGTTATAAATTTTGCCAGAGAGTTAATTGAAGTGTTGGAGACTAAGAATGATGCCTTGGGAAACTAGAATTCAAGGTGTATTTTCTTTGGGTCATATATGACTTCATAATTAATACTATAGACTTGTTCAATGCCTATGGTATTGTTTTATTATTAACATTATTTCCACTGTATGAGAATGCTATCTCTGTCTTACCACCAAATATAAAGGGACCAAAAGAATGTTTATCATCATTTGCTACCAAGGGATTTTGATTCATGTATTCCTTATTTCCCTTACCCTAAGTCTTTTTATTTAAATAAACTTTTTATTTTATTTATTTATCTTTTTTTTTAAAGATTGGCACCTGAGCTAACAACTGTTGCCTATTTTCTTTTTTTTCTTTTCTGCTTTTTCTCCCTGAATCCCCCCAGTCCATAGTTGCATATTTTTTTAGTTGTGGGTCCTTTTAGTTGTGGCTTGTGGGACACTGCCTCAGCGTGGCCTGATGAGCAGTGCCATGTCTGTGCCAAGGATCCGAACCAGTGAAACTCTGGGCCACCAAAGCGGAGTGCACAGACTTAACCACTTGGCCATGGGACAGCCCCTGTGGTTTGTTTCTTAAAAGAGGAAATACAGAAAAAAAGGGAAGGGATTTCTTGTAAATTAAAATTTTGCAGTTCCTTTTGCCTGCCCTATACCTTTGTCGAATTCCTCCATCCTTAAAAGTTTAGTTAAATGCTGCTTCCTCAGGGGCTGGCCCCGTGGTGTAGTGGTTAAGTTTGGTGCACTCTGCTTCAGCAGCCCAGGTTTGCAGCTTTGGATCCTGGGTGCAGACCTACACCACTCGTCAGCCATGCTGTGGCAGTGTCTCACCTACAAAATAGA